TATATATATGGAAGTTAGCATGTGCTGAAGAGAGATTAAAGATATGTTAGCATCAGAATGAAGTTTTTCCCCTGACATCATTGAAAGTCTTAAAAGAGACTTGGAAACGCAACCATCTTCTAACTATGTGAATCAATACTATTTAATGCTGTGTGTGTGAACCTTTGAAATCATTCCACTATCAGGTTTACCTCTCACAGTGAATAAACACAGTGCAGATGGGGCAATACTCAGAATGAAAAATGGACTAGTCCAAAACCATATACCTACTTACTAGTGGGGTAATATATGTGTAGTAGTTAAGACCAGTGACCCTAGAATCAGACTGCTTGGGTTCAAGTCTTGCTTCTATCATTTGTTAGCTGCATTGGCCTTAGGCAGTTTGCTTGACTTCCCCCAGCTCCATTTCCTGATTGTAAAACAAGAATGGGATGTGAAAATGGGGATGGGCCTATCTCAGGGATTCTAATAAATATTAAAAGAGATGCTTGCTTGGTGTTTAACATGGATTAAGTAGCCTCAATAGAAATTTGTCAAGGAGATGTAGAATTTAGTGTCAATAATAACCTAGTGTAAAGCCTGCAAGGTAAGATAGCTTTTAACCTTTATAATGCATTTTTTTTCTTCTTAGCAACAAAGAAAAAAGTATGACAAGTTGTATGTGAGATATAAAGCCTATGTGTACCCCTGTACAAGAACTTTTCCCCACCCCTAGTCTAGTTCATATAGGTGGTGACATCATCTATTATCTTTCCCTTCTGGGAAGAGTAGAGTTAGGATGTGGTGGCTCAAATGTCTCTTCTCCCATTGTCTTGGTTATTTAGTTGAGGCCTCAGTACAGAGAGGAAGGGAGTGGGGCCCTGGAATTATCAGCTGTCAGATTTTCCCAAGTGTTGGAAACTCATCACTTCCTGCAGTACCTGCAGGGTGAAATGGAGGGTCCCAGTAGCCAAAGGTGCTCTCTTAGGCAGATACTGTCAAGGATATCTCAGGTAAATCCTATTTACTGGACAGAATCACACATTGAAATCAGAAGAGAAGTGGAGGAATTAACTTTCCTTCTCCCTTGGCCAAGTCTGGCCCTGGATCACCCACCTCCTACCCAGTCCAACAGCTGGTGCATTGTATGGCCATCAGTGACCACAGTGCTCCTCTGGCAGGTTACTTAGCCTTTCGAGCATGAGAATAGCATAAACCATACAGGAATATGAGGATTTTTATAGGACAAAAAGAGAATTCCACTTGAGAAAATGTGTCAGCAATGAGCTACATTTCCATTTGGAGATTTGATCTTGTCTGGTGTGGATTCAGCCCGCGCTCCTCCTCCTTACCTACCGCCCTCCAGTCAACTTGGTTTCTTGCTTTTTCCAACCTGCTCTTGCTAAGTTCTGCCTAGAGTGCTCTTTCGGGTATGACCAAAGCTCATCCTTCTGTTCTGAACTTGAAGGCCACCTCCTCAAGAGGCCCTCCCTGAGCACAATCATCATTGCAATCTGCATAGTTCTGTTTTATTGTCTGTTTACTCCAAGAAGGATGTTAAAGTTCCATGAGCTCAGCACAACTGACTTATTCATCATTGCGTTACTCCCAGCACATGATCTATATCAGATGCTCAGGGGATATTGGTTAAATAAATGAATGGTAAACACATTTAATTTTGTAAAAAATTGCTCATTTTATGTTTTTTTTTTAAGATTTATTCATTTATGCATACAGAACTGGGGTACAGACCAGAAGTGCAGGAGTGGTGAGAGGATTCACCAAAGACAGAGTGGGGAGCAGAAAAGGCAGATCGAAGAAGTACACTGCTGAGGGGAGCAGTGGGCAGGTCAGGAGAGGTCTGCCACACCATGTGGTCACCTCCGGGGCCGGTGGGGTTTGAACTCATGCTGAAGTGGCTTTAGCTTCTTAGTGCTGTGCTTTAACCCACTGTGCCACCATGGAGGACTCAAATTTATGTTTTGTTATGAAATAACCCACACACGTGGATCAGTAAACAAAGAGCAGATATAACGTGTCTGAAATTGGGCAAGGAAAGCATTGGAAGGGAGATTAAGTAATGAGTAAATTCTACTGTTCTATAATCCTTTGAGAATTTTAAAGTGCTTTTTAACCTCCTTTTCAGTTCTCACAGCAACTGCCGGAGAAGCATTGTGGGTTTGGGAAGTCCAACTCTGTAAAGGATGAAACAGCGATAGAGTTTGGCAACAATTCTTAACAGTTCTTTCCCATTTTCCC